TTGGGAGAAGGTTAATTATTTTAGTTATGGCAGGGGAGTGTAGATTTGTTCATTTGTTTTTAATACGTTTTATTTTTTAAGTTCTTCTAATTTAAAAATTCGAAGTGCAGTCAACCCCGTTGGTATGGGCACTGAAGGGTCCGTAGAACGTGTGCGGTATATACACGGTAGTTGACTGGAAAGTAACGATGCTTTGCTCAATTCCGGGCCAAAAAGAACTGAGTTGGCCGCTTAAAGAACATTACCTCGAAGAAACGCGTGTCGGCGAAGATTTTGGCCCGATCTAAAAATCTCCAAAGCGTTTTTGGTGTAGCCTGTTTCAGGCTCTCAGATCTGGTGGGCATGACGCAAAAGTGAAATGCATGCGAAATATTAGCGCCTGATCCGCGTAAAACGGGTGGATCATTTGTTATTGAGGCTCTTCCGCCCATTGTCACATGGGTTTTCAAACTGGAAAATGTTTAATTTGATCTAAAAATTTTCCTCGCGAGTATCTGGCGCTCTTAAAATCCCCAAAATGTTTGTAAGAAATTTCATGTGTTTCAGTTCCAGCCTATTTGAGATTCATCGTTTTCAGGAACTTTCGGTTTCAATTTGTGCTGAAGCAACATCTAAATTTTTTGCCTTGAATGAAGCCGTATTTGGTCCCGAGGGTCGGTTCTAGCAATTGACGCTGCTGAGTTACAAGAAAATAGCGGTTTCGTGAAGCCATTAGTCTAGTTTTTTTTTTTCTGAAATGAGTGCATCCGAATTACTCTATGTCACATATTTGTTTTGTTATGCTCTCCTCATTTCCTTAGAGTCGATTGCAGTTAGAATGGCCCCTCGAAAAAAACGTGGGTCTTGAATTCTGAAACCGGGGTCTCGCCAGGTCTCGAAACTACCATTCTGTACCCCTCGTATTGAGTGGGTCATGTTATTAAAGGCGAAAAACACCTTCCGGTAGCACAAAAAACGGGGGCATTAGCTTCGACAAATTAAGTGTGCCGTATAACTTTAACGTTGCTTATTCCGCTTATTAAATACACGGAAGTTACATTTTAAAAGTCGCTCATCAAAATTACTCCTCAACCCTTTCTCGCGTCAAAACTGGCGTTCTCTCCCGATCAAAGCACTTTATTTTTTTTATCCACAACTCTTACAATATAAATTGTCGGATATGATGAATACCTTCAACAAGCTAATGGGAGTATCGACTCTATGATAGTGAAGAAAGCGACCCGAGAAAGTAAAGTCTCTCACGAAACGGATTATTCTAAACAATAGACAAAAGAGATTGAACAAAAAGACTTAGAAAATTGCGCACGGCTGATATATATAGATAAAAAATATATGCAGTTAAAACAGATTACAAAATTCATTAAATAATTAAGAAAAAGATCTTTGGTTTCCCTTGCAGGAGTGAGAAGTCATCAAGGAAGGATTTCTTTGGTTTGATAAAAGTAGTTGGGCTGTAACTTTCCGTCGCACCTGTAAAATAAAACGATCTTTTTGCGACCGCTTGCTTCACTTTCGGGATATGAATATCATTGTAGCGTCTAGTTGTTACGGAGTGTACAGAAGCATTTCAATTAAAATAATTATTCAAATAGGGTGGAACTGAACCGTGAAGGCATTTTCTTGTTAACAAAACAATGTGAGTTACGCCTATTAACCAAGGCACTAAACCGAAAGTTTCATTCAGTTCCAGTTTAGTATCGAGACCAGAATTTCCAAAAATTAACTTCGCGGCTCTATGTTGTAAACTCTCGAGAGCATCAGGGTTAACTTTTCCACACCCGTGCCAGGCCACCTCACAGTAATCAAAAATGGGTGAAATCATCTTCTTGTCGAGGCGTTCAGCTGCAACCATGGGAATAGAGATTATCAAAGGCCTAAGAACACCCAATTTTCTTGAATAAAACTTTGTTGACTACGTGTTCAATATTGTTAACATTTAGAACGATTTATTTTAATTTAAAGTTATGTATTTTTATTAAAAGATTATATAATGCTGTTTGTTTTCATTATGCCAGCCGCTGATAAATATTTTTACCTTGTTATATAAATTTACGTAGTTACGTATTTTTATTTATTAAATTTATATAACACCATTTGGCCAGCTGCTGATAATGATCCAACAACACTACCCATCAAGCTAATTAATCGTTCATACAGCAAGAAAATTATAATACGTTGTATAGAGAAATATTCGTCGCTCACTAAATTAGCAAAATGTACATTGAATATCGCTTTGAAGCTTACCTTACATGTAAGCGTTTTCTTGTTTTTCTTCGTATTCTGACTGCACTTCAGACCTCCTAGGCACGGCAGTTTTTCAGAAAAACTGTCGCTCAAAAAAAGGCATTAAACAATGCCTAGGAGGTCAGAAATGCAGTCAGAATACAGAGAAAAACAAGGAGACGCTAACGGTAAGCTTCAAAGCGTTATTCAATGTACATTTTGTTAATTTAGTGAGCGAAGAATATTTTTCAATACAACGTCTTATAATTTTGCGTGGGAGGCTAATAATTTTCTTGCTGTATGAATAATTAATTAGCTTGTTGGGTAGTTTTGTTTTCGGGTTCTTGGCATCCTAAAAGGCTTGAAACGCAGTCAACACACAAATAAATGTAACAAAATACTAAAAGGAAAAATTTAATGTACGTTTCGCTCAATTATGGAGAAATCGGATAATTTTCATACAACGTCTTATAACTGTTGTCGTATGAATAATGAATTAGCTAAGTAGGATAATGTTGTTC